CCTGTTCACATGAGTTTCAGGTCCGGATCAGGTGCGGATCTGCAGACGCGGTGCTATGTGTTTTTGCCACGTTTTTGATGCGTTCCAGTCAAAAAAAGTATTTGCTGAAGTGGGGCTGTCAGTATGTTAGCTGCAGTGCGTTTTTGATGCGTTTTGCATTTCCGGACTGTTTCCTGACCGTACAAAATGTGACATGCAGTATTTTTTCTGTTGTACCCTGAACAGACTGCGCACATGAGAACTGTAGCCCATAAAACACATAGGGATACATTTTTAGTGCAGGAGCGTACAGATCAGGTCAGCACAGAAAACGGATGTCGTGTGAACAGGCCCTAAGAACATTAGCCATTGGGATCCATGACCAAGCCTCAAGATGGGCCCACTTTTCAGATTGCTTGGGTCATATAATAATTTTGATCCTCTCATTCAAAGAAAGGTACAGCGCATATTTAGTGTCGCCATATTTTGAGTAGTTAGTGCCCCATTTACTTTCATTTTTCTATGTGACATTCACATTTTTATACACTTGCTCTTCCATATTTTTGTTACTGTGTTATAGATTAGCCAACAGAGGGAACTTTTTTGTGCCTGATTGCAATTATTCTGGTTCTCTCTTAACATGTGTTGGGAAAATCAGCCACATAGGAAGCTTTTAATGAGTTGGACGACTCACAGGCTTGCACTGCAATAGAGGAGCTGTAAAGCACACATATTGTGTAGCACTGAAATGCAGGGTGCAAATGTAATGAGAAAATATAACTGCACCCATGTACATATACAATATCTATCATATAATTACAAATTGTCACATTTGTCCAACAAGGGTTGAATCAATCAATATTGAATTTAGAAGCCAGGCTGTCCAATCCAGGAGCCAGCTCCATTGACAACTAAAGACAACCTCAAATGTCGGTGCCAGCAGTAGTTTTCAAGGAGCATTGGGCTACCCGGCTCCTGGGATTTGTCCAGCCCTGGTCTAACAATATACATTACACTCCCTTTTAAATAACCCTGTTTCAACCTCTTGCATGTTTAAAGCTGAAGTCTATGCATCTATAAAATAAACCAATCAATACAGCTCCTTATTCTTCAACACATCATGTAATGTATTTTTTAAATGCAAGCAGCATAAATACCTTAATTTGACTTGATATCAGCTTCTTAAAGTCACTGTACAGCCAAGCTCAGGCAGGGTAGAAAGAAATAAGAAATAATACACAGAGCCAATTAGATGTGCTGTAGTGCACAGGACAGGCTGATGGATTGAAAGAGCAGAGTGACAGAGATGAGCTCATCAGTCTTCTACTTCTCATTTCGCTGTCCAGTCACAGGATGGGGCTGAGGAGAGGACCTATAAGTGTTACTGAACTGCAGCAGAGACAAATCTGGTCTTCTTCCCTACCAGATAGGGTTGTGCAGTGTGGCAGAGCTTTGTAAATTTCAGAAATGGATGAACATAAATATAAAGGCCAGGTAAAGCAAATCTATGCATTTCATCTGTGTACTTATGCCCGGGGTTCAGCATTAACCATCGGGAAGCTGAATTTATGTATCAGATCAATGCCACAGGTAGTAAATGTTTATTCTCACACACACAGGGAAAAAAAAAAGCAATTGGAGTTTGTTTCCAGCTCCAGTTGCATTGAGGGAAACATCTGTTTGGGAATAACAGATTTCTCTGGGCTGGAATAGGTAATGTAATGAGGACAAGATTCATGCACTAGATATTGTTAAACAGAGAGAGCAGATTTGTTTCCATATTAAAAAGCTGCCAGAGCGGGCTGCTATGGAAACGCTGCAATATACACTGTACACAGGAACTGCAAGAGCTTTTATTAGTCAGGCAATGCAGGGATGACACCTAATAAATCAGGATTTCATATTATATTGGCTTCTTGTTATACTATATTAATGGAGGAAATGCATCAAGACAGCAGGCTTGTTAGGCACATGGAGGAGGAAAGGGATTGCCATCTAATAAACAGATACACAGATTTGACTTCTCTAGTTGTTATTATGTCCGGGTATTTGGCATTTAGGCCATTTATTTACAGCTAAAATCAGTCAAATGGTTATCTAAACATTCATGGAAACTATCTAACCTGCCAAAACACTTGTAATTCTGTTCACCAAAGTCTTGTGATCCAGGCATCCCTACCAGCCAACTTAGCCAGATGCGGAGCCTCTCATTTCTCTACTGCAGTCAGGCAATGCAGCTCGGTCAACAACCAGCTGTCAGCCTGCTGATTGGACAATGAGAGAGCAGCAGAACACTGATGAGGTTATCAATCTGCTCTTTCCTAAAAGTTCCCTGTCTTAAGTTGCCTATACACCTTACGATTATCGGACGAAACTTTTCGTCCGATGATCGAACCGTCGTACGATTCTCGTACGACGGCCCCATCCTACCACGATTATCGCAAGGTTCAATCAGCGGTAGTTTTAAAAAAAAACCCACCTGGACGACTTGCGGTAATTTACCGTAATTATTTTCATATGCGCAGTGTTAATCGTGCGACTTTTGACGGACGGAAACGCCACCAACCATGCGAACATCGTACGATCGACCAAAGTTTTCAAACATGCTTGACGGTCAAAAGTCGTACGATTGTACAGTACTATCGGTCAGGCACTCTATTCACACGTTACGATTGTCGTACGAAAAGTCGATCGCATACTATTATCGTACGATAATCGTAAGGTGTATGGGCACCTTTAGAAAAACCGCACAGTACAAGGCCCATTACGTTTGCAGTAGTATTCAACTCTCAAATGTTTTTTAATACTGATCAAACAAATATACATTGTCCAGCAAAAGATTTCTTGATACTTTCATCTATGTGCTTACGGTCATCATGTTTCTAAACAGGTGGCTCCAACTCTCTCAGCGTGGCTTCCCTGAACTTCCTGCCCAGTACAAGCTCACAAGGGACAGAGCAGTCTGTACTGTAGTAGCTGTCTATCTAATAGCTTGGAGAAATGAGGAGGGGAGAGAGGGGATCAAGGAGCAGAAAACTGGATTGCCTTGCTGTGTCTGTATGTTTTGGTGACACACAGCTTACTAGCACAGATATCGGCGGCCGAAGAGAGCCAAAGGATCAGCCGAAGCTACGGCTGGATCCTTCGGCTATTTAGTGAATAACCCCCTAAGTGTAAAAAGAAAAAAAAAGTTAATTCACATATAACAAAAGTTTAAAAAAAACCCTAAAAAATCTTAAGTTCCCACCCCCACGTATACGCACATATAAGTGTAAATACTCCCTTTATAAATATGCACGAAAATGATAAATGGGCTGCACATGTTACATATAACCGTGAATGTCAGAGTGCGATCAATAATTTTAGGGCCATCAATCACTGATAACACTAAACTAATGAGCAGGAAAAGCTTTTAAATTGTTGCCTATGGGCAATTCTGGGTATTGTAGTTTTTTGCAGTTTCGCGGGCGCGCGCAATTTTAAGGCTTGACATATTTGGTATCTATTTACCCGACGTATGTATTCCAGAATCCTGCTGTACTCCTTATCAGTATCCCTGTCAGTGTGGGTGCTCGAAGGGACCGCGGATAGCGTCGCCAATACTGAAACTTGTTAAAGATGTCACCAGCACACCGTATTAAAGTGAAGAACACATCTGTTTATTGACGCTTCATATCATTTCAAGCCTGATGAAGGGGACCAGCGGGGCCCCGAAACGTTGCTATTTGTTTTGACATGAAGCGTCAAGAAACAGACGTGTTCTTCACTTCAATATGATGTGCTGGTGACATCTTTAACAATATTTACCGGATGTGACCCCGTGTTTTATATTTTACCAAAAATTTGGTTAGTAATAAACGTTTTATAACTTCATATAGGGGAACATTTTTGGTCATTTTTCCTTAATATAGTAAAAAATAAAAACCCCAGTGGTGATTAAATACCACCAAAGGAAAGCTCTATCTGTCCCCAAAAAATTATATCAAATTCATTTCACTACGACTTCGTATGACTGAATAAATGTCAGTCAAAGTACTGCAGCGCTGAATACTAAAAAATGGCCTGCACAGGAAGGGAGTCATCAAGTGGTTAAAGCCCAGCTCCAACTTTGTAATTAAATGGCAAAAAGAAAATGTAGCCCAGTATGTTTAAAAAAAATGCAGGTTTTACTGCAATACTCGGCTCCTTTCTAGAGCTGTCCATTGCCAACTCACCACATAAAGATCCAACAGCGGTCCTCCTCCACTCCCTGGAGGGAAAGGGGGTCATCCTCCTGGCTTTGGCTCACAGTACTACTTACTGCACAGAGTGGCACTTACAGATAATTAAGTAAGAAAAAGAAGTAAGAAGAGAAAAAAATATGAGCAGGGAGAGGGGATAACGGGCCCTTTAGAGAGGGGGAGATGGTGGGTGATGGTTTCTAAAAACCTGGAGTTGGGCTTTAAACACAAGGCAATGGATAATGTGAAAGGATCCTGAAATACCAACTGCATAAAAAAGGCCTTTGCCTCAAAGCAATGCATTTGAATTGCTAGTGACATTTTGTCACATTACAATACAAGTATCTTTACTGAAATGTGTGATCTTAGGTTGGAATGCTTTTTGGCAGTTAATGTCAACGCGTCCAGGGAAATTTGAAGGGGTTTTAATGATAAGGATAATAATAGGGAACTACTGCACAGCTAAGCACAAGATTCCACATTGCTGGGCTAATTAGCAGTATGCACTGGTAAAGATCTGTCTGAGCATCATAATCGAGTCTATGTGTTGCAATGCTAACCACCAAACAGTGTGCTGGAGCCATAAAAAGTAAGACAAATAATGAAGGTAATCTTTTTCATTATTTTAGAATAAAAAGTTTTGAGAATCCATGGCAACCAATCAATTTTCTGCTTTTTTTCAAACAAATTCTTTCAGACACAAGAGCCCTGTTCAGACGCAAGTGGTTCTTGTATTTTGCGTGTTGCACTTTGCCTAATTAATTAAGCCAAAAAATGACAAAAAGGCGACTCCACACCAACCTGAAGTTTTCAGGGTACTCAGATATGGCCATATTGATGACATCCGTGGCGTGTTTATACTGTTTTTGTGCTGATAACAAAAGGGCCAGGAGGTGCAGACTGCATATATCATCCTTGCGGAGCTTGAGTGCTTCCTGGAGATGTTCTATTGCATCTGCTATCTGTAAAGAAAAAAAACTTTTTGTCAGAGATCAGGACCACCGAGATGACTTACAAGTAATAAAGCATGGATAGAGAAGCTGAAAGTGAATGTATATCCCAGTCGCTAAGCAGATTATTATTATACAGAATGTATATAGTGCCAACAGTTTGCACACTTCTTTACATTATACAGAGAGTCGGTAGAGTTACAATACAATAGAGCTGCAACAGTTAATCGATTTAGTCGATTAAAATCGACGATTGAAAACGTTGGCAACGTTTTCAATCGTCGATTCGTCGGCTATCGATTGATTTGCCTGTTCGGGGCTGTTCCGGGCTCCACATGCGGCCTGAGCCACACGTCACACGCTGCTCCCGCTGCGGCCAATTCGAGAGAAGAGGGCTAGGAGAGCCCTGCTTACATGAGCTTACAAACTAAAAAGGAGGGACAAATGATACATAAAGCTAACAACTGTGCAGGAATGAGCTGATGGAAAAAGTAAAAGTTCAGTTGTTAGGTAGAGACGGAATATGCTTCTCTGAAGAAGAAATCAGGCCAGATTGGGTTACATGGTTCCAGAAGGTGGGAAAGACTCTGGAGAAGTCCTGAAGGCAAGTATGACAGGAGATGATGAGTGAGCTGGAGAGCCGGAGGTCTTGGGAGAAGATGGTTTGGTGATATTTTAAGACAAGGTTAGTATTCTGGATTTTATTTTTTTGCTCGGTGAGCAGAATCCAATGGAGGGATTGGCAGAGAGGGATGGAAGCCACAGAGCAGTTGGTAAGGTAGATGAGACTTGCAGCAACACTCATGATAGACTGAAGGGGGTATAGCCTGTGTAGACATGGGCCATGGAGGAGGGTATCGCAATAGTCAAGGCAAGAAAGAACAAGGGAGTGAATTAGTAACTTGGTGATGCCATTGGTTAGGATGAGTCATATTATGGACGTGTTATGGAGGTGATGGCAGCCAGATTTGGACAATTATTGTATGTGGTGTCGAAAGGAGAGGTTGTGAGCATGGCCAACTGTGTTAAAGGCAGCAGATCTTCTGCTGGCCCTTCGACCTTTGACCTGCATTAGACTTGACCGACTGAAATAGCCCATTTGGAGACAGGTGTTTGGTATGGAAGATACTGCATTCAGGCGGTGGCGCTGATCAGGCAGCATGATAGACAGACACACTGGGGGTAGTTGTCCCTGCCCTCTGTAACTTTTTTATTATTACTGTATATCCTAGAGGCATATTGTCTATAAACATAAAATTACTATGCCATCATAGGGTACAACAATCTTAAGAAGAACTCCAGGGAAAAATAATATTAACACTTGCAGTGGTTCTACTCCTGAACTGCAAGGGTTAACTGCTCGTTTTTGTCTAGGGACTAAAATAAAAAAAAGCTATACCTCGGAACTGGCTGGCTGTCACATGCCTCTCTCATCCTACACTGCAGTGATGGCATCTCCCTCGGCATTCTCACATCCAATACGCAGTGTATTAGACGTGATGGAGAACGCTGGAAGGACCGGTCTAACAGCAAGCCAGCTCTTAGGATCGGGTGAGTATAACTTTTTTATTTGCAGGCGGTCCTGATCTCCTAGACCAAAATGAGCACTTAACCCTTGCAGTGCGGGGGTAGCCCCACTGCAAGGGCTAATAATATTTTACATGGAGTTCTGCTTTAACATTTCACATCTGTACTCACAATATCTTGACTCTACTCTGTTAGGACCACTGTAAACATCTAAGTGAGGAGTATAGGATTTCTTTCCTCCACCCTAGCCCCTGGATGGGAAGTGAAGGAGATGCTAGTTTGGTTGTGAATGCTGGAGTGCCCTGCTTGTTTCACTGAGTACAATACCATATTATGAAGATACTTATAAGGCAAATAATATACTACAGTGGTATGTTTACATGTGGTATTAGGTATTTTAACATACATTTGGATGCAAAAAACCCCCCAAAAACTCATAATGAAATTGCAATTCCCATGCAAAAAAATGTTTACACAGAACCACTTAGTTTACCACTTTTAAGTGAGGCATGCCCAGTAAGATCTATTCAGACAGTGTGTCTACTTTTTAGCACTGTCAAGTGTATGTTCACTACAGAGGTCCTGAATGATCAGAGTGGAGTGAGCAATGTTAGAAAGATGAAAATCAAGATTTTATGAACTATTATCTGGGTTATACAAAATGTATACACTAAGAACTGTTGGAGAAAATAGCCCAAAGGACCAACGTGCTTCCCAGGCACTCTGCCAACAGCTGAAATCCTGTTATTCCTGTAGAATGTGACTCTAAACTGTGAACATAAAACTATTATGGGGGAGTACACATACCAGCTGTTCTGTAATATCATTCTGCACATACTTTAGCTGACCCAAGAAGATCATGTTCACTCTCAGGTCAAAAGTCTCAAGACACCTTTCATACCCATTGTCCAAGATTGGGTGCTAAAGTTCATTTATCAATCGTATGATGAGATGGCTGTCTCCTTGTCACTGCATTCTCTGTTCTCACTAAGACGTGTATCTAAATCTTGTAACAAAAGTGTAAAATATTGCAACTTACCAGATGTTCGATGTTCTTGAATGTGGTGGCTGCTTTCTTTTTCTTTTACCTGATGATCCTGCCAGCAACACACTTCCTGTCCTAGGGTGACAATGCTCACTCACTGTATTGTATCTTTGGAGGAGCAGAGTTGTCACCCTAGGACAGGAAGACCCTCTTCTCTGTAACATAGGTGCTGAAGTGTTCTGCAGTCAACAGAGAGAACTGAGAACAATGTGACTGAGCGCCAGAGAGCATAGGAACTTATCAACTCACAAGGTTTCTAGCAGGATCAACAGGTATTTGTTACACTTCTACAATAGATATAGCAAAACACTTTCAAAGGTATATTACCCAGAGCAAAAGGGAGCAAATAAGAGCAGTTCATTGTTAGGGTTTACACTTTAAGTGAATGGTTCTCTGCGATAGGGAAATAAATCATCATCCAAAGCTCTGCTAAGCTGCCACAGAATCCATCGGCTGAGCACGGAAAGAGCCCTTCTTATATTAAACCATGAGAGAAAAGTGGCCACTGCTTATCTCAATTTCTGAAAATGCCAGTTGCCTTTATGCCATACTAACCTGCTTAACATTGAGGGACTGACCCAGAGAAAATAAGGTATTTAGATAAGGAGCTCCAAATGTATTGGGTATTGCATGGGTATGTTCTTATTGAGGGTCCATTCACACCACATCCAGATTACCTCCAGACCAAACCAGACTATTTCCAGACCCAAAATGCATCCTAATGTATCCAGGGACGTGCGGTCAGGGGAGGCCGAGCCTTACCTGGAATTATGGAGGAAAAAGCTTCGGCCGGTGTCGGGGAATGCCTCACCCAGATATGAGGTACCGCACGTCACGGAATGTATCCCTATGCTATTTCTGGTCTCTGTTTTCACCGGTGCAGTCCGTTCCAGACCAGACCAGAAAAATACTGCTTGTCCTATTTTGTCTGGTCTGGAATGCACTGGAACGCATCAGAACCGCATGGAACGCACCTGTAAGACCATTTTAAGCTAAACAAAAAGAAAAAAAAATGTAATTTTCAATCGCTGCAAAAACACAATGCACTATGTTCCAGATCTGGTCCGAAAAATGGTGTGAACCCAGCCTAAGGGACTTAAGGGTGCTGAGGCCAGAGGATCAGCATGAGAACTAGGCAACTAGCATTTTTAGAAGGTCAGCAATGGTAGCACCCATATTCCTCTCATGAGCTTTTGATTAACTAGCCAACATCGGGATAAGGTTTTTTTTCTGCCACAAGGGACGCAGGCAAGAAGGTGGGCATTAAAATGTTTGTAGCTCAGATAACCCCCTATTACAAGCAAAGCTCTGGGCCTACCCCTACTAAAGTAAGCATGCCAAAATTAATTCAAAGACAAAGACCCAGAACATGAGAATCTCTGGTCTCCATTATCCCATCCATCGAATCTCGACCAAAAAAAAAAAGAGAAGTGCAGTAAAGATATTCTTCATCTTATCAGTGATTCATTGCGTGTTTGGAACCAGGCTGGCATCATCAGTCAATGAATAACCCTCTACTACACAGGGAGTCACTATGACCAGACATAATTCTCTTAGTTTCCTCTATATATTTACATTATGCAGCTGCAATGTGATTATAGTCCTGGCCTCTTATGTAGTTCATTTGATTATTGACATATCATTGTCGTGACAAAATCCTGAACTGTCAAGAGGCTCTCCAAGAAACAGTTAAACTCGTTCACATTAGTCACAAGGGGGAGCTGTTTAGTGAATTACAGTTTTCAGCTTGTTAACTTACGCAGGACAGTAAAGGACTGTTTAGCCTTTATCCATCTTCAGCTGTGCAGACTGGTTGTAAGGGGAAGTGCTGCTGTAGATATCATTTTTTTTTTGTAGGATTCAATAAAGATAAAGGCTGACACTGAAAGCAGTCTTGGTTTTTCTGTGAAAGTTAATGAGCTGAAAGCTGTACATCACAGGACAGCCTGCACCTGCTAATGGACAGCCTCTATAAATCTCATCACAGTGTCCTTGCAGTACTGTCAAGGTCATGTCTTGTACTCTTACCCCAATGTTATGATTTTTCTTATGCTGACCATACACCTATTGTTTTTTTCTCAATAATAAAACACTCTTCATTCCCCCATCCACACTAAACACCATGGTTGGAGGAATCCCCCTGCCAGGCTATAGTTTTTGACAGTGGCAGGTGTGTCAAAACAAAAGCCAAAATTCAAGCAGTGTATGGCCAGTTTTAGGCAAGCTGAAATTCTCTAGAGCAGGGGTAGGCCAACCTAAGCCCCCCAGCTGTGGTGAGACTACAAATTCCATCATGCATGTGCCTCTGGGAGTTATGCATGTGGCTGCCAGCATCTTGCAATGCATAATAGGGTTTGTAGTTTGACCACAGCTCGAGGGCCACAATTTGCCTACCCCTGCTCTGGAGTTGAACATATGGCCCTATAGCTGCTTCACCCTA